AGCAGTTGCTCTGATGGGTGTTCGGCTTGTAGGCTGGGCACATGTGAACACTCGTGTGCTTTGACAAGACTCTATTCTCTCCCCTTTGCAATGTTCTCTTTTTCTGTATAAGTATTTTAGTGCTTTTGCCATTTTTCAATATCCATATTTGCCATTTGATTAGGATTTATCCCTCTCTAAATGCCAAATGAGTCTTATCACCCTCTAAGAGGTTTGTGTACTCGTGGCAAGTCTTCCCTGTCACTGCAGCCTTCAGCTGAAATGCTCACGACAGCAAGTTCGCATCAGCCCGGCCCACAGCCAGAATTCCCCATGACGGCATGCTCACTGACCTGGCCCTCAAGCCAAATTTTTTCATGGTGTGATGGTCGACGTCATCTGGATCTTAGGGGTTAATTTGATCCTTTTTCTCAACAACTGACCAGTTTTACCTGTAATCCTCTTGGGCTGTCTTGTTTCTTCATATTTCTCTGGCTGTTCCTTTGGTCTTACTTGTGTTTTCCCTTTCACTTTGCTACATAAAGGAGGACCATATTACTATTACCATTTTATGGTTACAGTGAAACCATTTACATGACATGTCATTGTGGCTTTTTTAGAAGTAAGATTCATTGATGGTTATATTTTTATTATGTTTTTTTTTTTATTTTATTTTGAAGATAATTTATACATGTAATCAAAAGTTTGATTACCAAAATCTTGATGTAGGGTATTTAAAATATAATTTTAGGAAGTTAGCCATAAGTTACATGAACTCATGCAGTGCCTAGCAAGACATTCCAATATGAAATAGTTTATAAGGGGTATTGTAATACAATGGCTATAGGAGGTACAAGACTAAAAGGAGTAAGAAACGTATGTCAACATGCATTCGCTAAGTAAAAAAAAAATGCATGAAAGCACATGCTACGAATATGTGATAATTTATCCTTTCCACCGTTACTAGTTGCTGGTCAGTCTTCAGTATGTATTGTTATGAAATTGATATTGTGAACTTACTGTACTAGAGCTGTGTTCAGTAACTTGTGCCTTTTGTTTCTCTGTGATCAAGGGAAGACAAAAAAAAAAGATAATAGGGGAAGTTTGATGTGAGTTAGGTATATGTTGTTAAGTTTAGTAATAGCTTCTATTCAGAGAATGTAAATTTGGCTTTTGAGTTAGTTCTTTAATGATTATGCTAAGTAATGGAAATTTACGGTAAGATTTTGTTGTCAGAATGCAAAGCACAAAGGCCAATTATGTAAAAGAAAGAGTGAATGTGTAAAGTACACAGCATTCACTTTATGGTTTATTGTTCAGTGGATTTCTGTTATTAATTTTTGTTTTTGTTTTTAGTTGTGCCACCTTTTTTGAGGTCATGTAGTTTGTCAAGCTAAAATGAGGCTCAACATTGGTTTAATGAAGACTCTTCTGTGATAAAATGATTACTTCTATTGCATAAAACCATCTCCGTTATGTATGTACTTGAGCGTACACACGCACACACAAAATCACATGTTTCATATTGTGTTTTAATCTCTTCTTCAGCGAGGTGGTTTTACTTAAAAATCAAAATACATGATGCGATTTTTGTGCACATGTATTTTGTGTTATATGCCTTATTTTCTGTACCTGCATTTCTGTTATCAATTTTAACTTCTAGGAGAGACTGATTAGTGTCCAATAGATTTTTGGGCATAATTTTCTATGTTCCTTTATGTTTACATATTTTTTTTTAACAATATCTGAATTAGGAAAACAAGCTTCCCAAATGCAGATGGTTCCTGAGGAATTCATCTTCACAGATTTTATAACTCATTTCTTTATCTACACATGTCATCTTAGGAAGCTGAATACATTAGTATTGCAATTCAGAAATCACAATGATCTGATAGACCATATTGCATTATGTACTTATGGTGTGGTTGTGAAAGCAAAGAAAAATTAAAAGGTGTCCTTTACAATAGATCCCTAAACTACAATATTGATTCTCAGTGTATACATTCCAGTTACTTTTATTTTTCAACTTGACATTCCTTACAAGAAGTGATGATATTCTTTTTAATGCTGTTTTGTGATGTGTCATTGGTATGAAATATTGTCTAGATATATTTACCTCTATGTAGCTTTAAAGCTATCATTTATTTTTAAGTTCAAGCTTGGTGTTGGGTCTCTGGGAGATAAATAAAGACATTGTCTAAAAATGTGTTTTAATCTTCATTGGTATTGGTTTTCCTTCACCCTTTTTATCTGTACTCAAAACTTCTAAATTTCCATACTTTTCTGTTGGTACTAGTTCATTTTAATACCTTACAGCTCTCTAATGAAACATTTAATAAGTGTAGTAGAAGTTGGCATATTTCCGTTGTGGATGCTTTAAAATTATCTATGGAGGTTCTACTTGTTCTTCTATGTATATATTGGCACTATATCATTCCTAATCTTTCTGAAATCACATATCTCATATTTTGGATATCCTGAATCTCTTTTGAGCTTTTTTGTAACATATTACTTACATGAGTATATATTTTTACACATACTGAAGCTGTTGGGTATGAAAGTTCGTGCCATACCTACTGTAAGTTTATTTTATGAATTGTCTTTACACAAGGATAACTCTACAAGTACTTAGTCAGCAATAAGCCAATTACTAGGACTACCAATCTCACCTGTTTACCTTCTTCCTTCATTTCTGAAAATATTTTCTTTTATCTTATATTGCTGTTAATAAAGTCAGTGACATTATAATAATTATAATGAGTATAATAAGAACAGCATCAATATTGATAGCATTAGTTATCAGAAAATGTTTATACTTTTTTTTAACTCCGTAAGAGGTGAAATCAGGTGAGGTCTACTAAGTGATTCCTAGCTGGCAAGGTACTTGTAGAGCCTATTAGTAGAGACATTTCTCAAATCAACAGTACAGTGAACACTATATTTACCCTATGGCATTGTGTTAACAATCTTTATTTCAACCTCCCAATACCTTGAGGTCCCCTACCTTTGACCTCAGCCCTCGCCTCAACATATTTTGCATGGTCTTTTTACCCTCCTCACAACAATACTTTATCATAATGCTATACTATATACCCCACGCTATTGCTGTATTTTGAATATGACCACAGATGTTGATGCTGCAGAAAATTTTCAATAAATAAGTAAATAATCTGTATTTCAAATTTACATATTTACATAAACATATTTTATGCATCTACTGTATTTATATATATCAAATTATAGCCAAATATAAATATGCATGAGATGTATTCAGAAGACATGCAAAAAAATCTTTGGAAGCTAGCTCATGCATGCATTTACCTTCATAATTTTTTTTGTGTGTGTACTTTTTACTTATATTAATATAGTGTAAAAGATTCACATTATAATAGTAAAATGAGGGACAATTTCACCTAGAATTCTCTGAATACTTCCAAATAGGTTTTGATTAGTTTCTTGAAAGCTAAAAAATCCAATGATTTATTGAGACACCTGTGCCTAGTCACACTTGTGTAAACAGATGTACACTCGGAAACAAACTAGACCAGGCTGAGAGTTTAAGGGCACAGCATTTCTGGATAATTCAAGCTATCTATCTATTTTAAATATGTGGCTAGTGATTAATGGTTGGAAGAGATGAATATGAGTAGTAGAATTGAATTAGCAATTAGGGTAAGATGTGTTTGTTGCCAAAGGTCTGAGAAACAAAGGTTTTCTTAAGAGGAGGTGAAGAGGGAATAGATGTCTGAGGAGCAGAGGGAGAAGTGGGTGTAGGAGAGGCTGTGATGGGAGATGGAGTGGAATGTTTAGATTGCCTAGTGTGACAGGTAGAATGAGGAGGAAGAGGAGGAGGATCGGTGGGCATTGGGGAAGTGGTAGAGATTGGAGCATCTGGATTTAGACTGGAAGACGAATTTGACCGGGGGATAGAGGGAGTAGAGATAGGGTCGTTCAGGGTAGAGGGAAGAGATACTGAGATATCTTGAGAAGATGGGAGTGGAGTGGAATGAAGTAGCTTGTAGGCAGGGCAACTCCTCTAAAATACAATATGTGCCCAACCTGGTCACAACCTGGTTGGGTACACAAGAGGACAGTGGGCTATAGAGGGACAGTGTTTGGCTGGGTGGCCAAAATGCCAAAATTTCTGACACTGATGGGGAAACGGTCAATATGGACAGACAGTACAGGACACTCAATGAATATAAACTTCATGGGGGAGGTCATGTCTATGGAAGCTAATCTTGGTAATATTGGTGTAGGACTTGCCCTGGCCCCTGAGAGGAATAGTGAGCACTGTACTGCCACTGCATCATAGTTGTTGAGGCATGTAAGCAAGTTGTTTTCACAGTCTGATCAGTCCTTGTTGTAGACGACAATCAATCAGGGAGTCAGAAACAGTTCTAGTACAAGTATTGAGGGAGGAGTGAGGTTAGGTAGGAATAGGTTTGCCAGAGAGGTCAGTCAGGGTAGATAATGCGTGAGCTTGGGATTCAGATGTAACTGTGATGAGGAGTGAATGATCAGAACAACTGCAAAAGGAAACTTTGTCCACTTGTTTTTGGAAACATTACTGGAAGAGAAGGGTATTCAAAAAGTTTGCAGATGTGGAAGCAGAAAAATGAGGGTGGAGAACAAAAAGGATGAATAGTAGTTATAAGGGGAGGAGGGGACGACAGTGAAGAAGACTATGCAGTAGATGGAGTGGAGGATGTTGGGAGAGAGGAAGGAGTGTATTCTGAAGGTTGAGTAATGATCTACGTGGATGATTCAGAATGGATAGAACTGACAAATATCAATGAGGGGGCATTAACCCATTGCCCCCGGGGATGGCATCTTCAGACCTTACAAAGTGGATAGAAGAAAGAGATAAAGAGAAGGAAAAGGAAAGAGGGGATAGAAAAGACCATGCAAAATTAGTTGAGGCGAGGGCTGAGGTCCAAAGTAGGGGTGATCCCCTACACTGGGTCTCAGTCTTGTCTCCTAAGCCTCCTAACACCAAGGGTTTAGGGGAGTATTTTAACTATATAAATATACTCCTTATGGTACATTTGAGGCTTTGCTCTTGGTGTCAGTGTTAATTTTCTTACTGTATACTATATAATGCTAAGTATTGTCTGTTAATTTGCCTAAAGAGTAATCAAACAAAAACATGTGACATGATATTGTATCAACTAGCACCTTGGATTTATTGCCTTAATGTGATGACATGTTACTTATGGCCAAGGAGGTTAAGATGTCTCATACATATGAGACCGAGCTTATCAGATATAGCTCTCTCACTTATCCCAGAGCACATAGTTTCTGCAACTATAATGCATCCACATTTACCTAGTTCCTTGAATCTATATTACTTGGGAGACTGGTTCAGAAATAAGGGGAACTTGCCATCATGAGAATTTTGGCTGAATGGGGACGACTTGCCACCAGTGCACAAAGCTCTTGGAGGGTGATTAGACTCAATGGGATTTAGGAAGGGGATTAACGCGTGTGGAATATACTGTCCATGAACCATGACCGGCAGAGTGCCGGCTTCAGGTAGGATGCTATTTCCATGCTCTAGATTCCTGGTTGTGACTGGTGGTGCAGGTTGTATTACAGAAAAATGAATATTACCAAAAAAAATTAAAATGACACAAACAACAAAATTTTATTTATTGTCCTTATTACTGCACTGAGCTATGGATTACCTAGAGAGATGATATGGAGTCTCTGCAAGGAAAACAGTCTATCACCATATGGATAAAGCAAATCAAAGGACACATGTAAACATTGGAAAATAAGAGAAAAAAAACAACTGAAAGCACTTATGCAAAAAAAAAAGAAAAAAAAAAGAAAAAAAAAAATTGCAAAGAGAAGGCATGGAGTATTGCCACCACACACGTGTTCATGTCTGCCTGGCCTACAAGTCACACACCTATCAGAGTGGCCATTCAAGTAAGCCTAATGCCTGTATTTTGGGACATATATAGGCAGTGAAGCATCTAGATCCAAGGAGTTAAGTACATTCACATACACATACATACAGTTCTAAAAACACACACACAAACAAAGACAAACATACACACATATACTACATATAAAATGCATATTCATAGGCTTAAGCACATATCTATAGTCAAACATTTATATAATATGCCCACATCCACAGGTATGAGCAAGTACACGCACAAAAATTAACAAAACTATGTAAATATAGGTGTGTAAGCACATCCATGTTTACATATTGACAGATATAAAATTATATATATATATATATATATAAAAGGAGAGATGTGTAGATATCAATATAGATGCACAGTTGTGCAGAAGCACCTACATACACACTAACACACATTACATGCAGCTAGTACAAACATACATAAATGCCAGCACAAATACAATCCACATATGAAGGGCCTCATGACTGTACATAAACCCCACTTAGAAACATACACTAAGACACTTGAAAGCGCGAGCACACACACACACACACACACACATACACTCAAAAAAGAGAGAGAGAGAGAGAGAGAGAGAGAGAGAGAGAGAGAGAGAGAAAAAAAAAAACTGTTAATTTACATCATTATACTATCACATACACATCACAGCATCATTTAGCTGGAAGGAAAGGAAAATGAAAAGGAGAGAGAGAACAACAAACAAACAACCAAACTCACCCACACCTGTCCTGGCACATGTATCAGTATATAGTTGACAACTGTAGCAGGTGAACAAATGAAACACATTTTTCTAAATATCATTATATTCAAGATTTTTTTGACTAAAGGTACACTGAACCAGTAAAAATGTGATTTTTTTTTTTAGATTTAAATAATATATAAAGTTTGAAAAAGCCAAATATATTCATGATCTATGGGACTATGAAAAACAAACAAACAAACACAAAATAACAATAATAAAAAAATAAATAAATAAATAAACACAAGAATAGAAATATATTAAAAAAAAATTAAGAAAATAATAATAATCATATTGCTGACAAAATCTCACGACTACCATAGTACACATAATGAGATGCGGAAGATCTCGAAGCCACTTGAATGCTGTGTGTATGTCACGTGGACAGGTACCAAATGGGAGAAACTTATTACGATGGAGGTTCAACAAGACATTTGCATGGACATATAGAATTACACTCATTATCGGTGTAAACAACCTTGTGTATATATATATTCTGTAAAGCAACACATTTTTAAAATGCTTTAAGTAGAATACAGTAACTTACAAGTTGCCATAAGGTTAATACATTAATTTCACTACAATATAAAGTGCACACATTTTTAAATTTCATTTATATGACTTATGCACAGATAAATTTTGGCTCGTATAATAAATAAATCAGAGCTTAACACTGATAACAGTGTTGGATAGCTTTTAGAAGTTAAACAGTCAGTACATCCTTCCATTCCCACAGAACTATAATTCCTTAAAGAATATTAACAGCATTGGCCCCTAAGAAAGCGAAATGATGAGAAAAAGAAGGAAAAAAATATATATATATCAAGGTTTTTCGAAGCAGAT